CCATCAGTGCCGACCCAACTACACCACCACGCGCATGCCTCGCGGCGGATATGCGCAGCAGCAAGAAGGTTTCGGTCATCCCTTGAGGGTGAGTCTAGCCCTGCTCGCCAGAAAGACCCCCCCCTTCACTACAACCCATGTCTAAGCAAAAGCTTGTCGAGGAGCGAGGGGAAGAAGGAAGAGAGGTGGATCCTGAGTTTGGCGGTTGGGAGTTACTGCTGTCGTGAGATCGGGGTAGCTCCTGAGCCGCTAGCTTTGGTAGCTGCAAAATGAGACTGGATCCTGACGCCCCGGCTTGGACACCGGGGCTATGCAGCAGCAGAGAGCACGGTGAGGGTGGTGGAGTGGCCGCACGCCGTGGGGGTATGCCCCAGAGATAGGAAAGGAGAGAGTCCAGAGATGGAGGGCCACACCGCTCCGGTACAAGAAGACAACTCTATGGGAAACAAGGGGAGAACCGGTGTAACTAATATCACATTAGCCCGAGTGTTCGCAAGAAAATGGTAAAAATACAAAAAAAATTAGGGGAAGATGGAGGAAAAGAAGGGGTCGGGCGGCGCGCAGGCTAGTTAAGTGGGCAGCGCGCGCCGCGCGAAAGAGGCAGCAGGGTCAACTTCTTAGGGCAGCAACCTGGAATGTGCGGACTTTGGCTGTAAACGGGGCCAACGGATACGGGCGAGCTTACAGCGTTCTACACGAGGCAGCGAGACAAGACGTATCGGTGGTAGGAACGCAGGAGACACTGAGGGCAGGTCGAACGGAATTTGCAGCAGCGGGTTTCCGGGTGTGCTGCTGTGGCACGGAGACTGGTGGAGTCCATGGTGTGGGGATAGCCGTCAAAGAGTCACTGTGCAAGACATCCACGTTCACTACGGAGTTTATCGAAGAGCGCCTCTATGGCCATCAGGTTTCTGTTGGCAGGCCACCGTGGAGCGGTCAACTTCGTAGCCGCGTATGCTCCAACGGAACCTTCAACCGCCGACAGCAAGCGCGTGTTCTGGGGAAAACTTGACAGTCTCGTGCGGAGGATCCCTTCCAAATAATGTGTGTATGTCCTACTGGACGCCAACGCGCGGACGGGAGATAGGTTGGACGGAGGGGACGAAAGGGTATTAGGAATGTACGGGCGTGATGAGCTCAACGACAATGGCATGCTACTGTTGAACTTCGCAACGGAAAACAGGCTAGCTCTCACGAACACGTTCTTTGAGACACGCAAGGGCGGAATATGGCACACATACAACGGTGTGTCGGGAAACGATTGCAAGTGCCTTGACTACATCCTGACAAGGCAGGTAAATCACGGCCGAGTATCTAACGTGGTCGTCATCCCCCAGCCGGTTCGCCCAGTCAAAGCAGACTCAGACCAAAATATGGTAGTAGCCACCGTCAACCTCGGTGGCAGGCTTGCCCACAACCGTGCAGTCCGGACTAAACCGAAACAGAAGCCATTCAACCGACGGGAATTGCAGTTCGAACCAGCACGGTGTGCGGTGACAAATCGGTTCCTCCTCAACCTCGACACACGACTGGACGAGCGAACAACCACCGCCGCGGAATTGGCGAACGACTTTACCAATGCTCTCCTCGACGCAGCGCGGACGACCATGGGGGAGGAACCGCGGAGACGCCGCACGCAGCAGTGGTGTGAGTCCCCAGAGACGCGAGCAGCGCTGGAGCAGGCCCTCACCAAACTTCGGGAAGCGCGCCGGGCGATGAGGGGCTACTGGAACTCAGCGACGTAGAGGGTTCTCAAAGTAGCGTGTAAGGCAGTGGCTACAGCAGTCGAAACGGGCATTTATACCCACCTGGACGGATATGTGACTGAGTTCGAAGAAATCTACAAAGATCGCGACATGCGAGGACTGTACCAACCCCTCAAGAGATCAGTGGGCCTCAGCGGGAGACAAGCGGGGGGACAGCAGTTCGTCGCGGATGAGAACGGCGTGTTGCTCCGGAACAGGGACGACATCCTCCAGCGGTGGGCGAGATTCTTCAGCACCCTCCTCAACACCAAACTCCCCACCCTGAACCCAGACATCATCGAACGAGGGACGCAGCGGCCAGCGACACGTGACACTCAACGGTTGGGAGATGTGCCAGAACTCGAGGAGGTGGCACGGGCAACGAAAGTCCTCAAGAACTGGAAGGCACCCGGCCATGACTCCCTCCCTGCCGAGATGCTCAAGATCGATGATGACGAACCCTTCGTCCTGGGACACCTCCAGACCATCCTCGTCAAGGTGTGGAACGGAGGAGATATTCCGCGAGAGTGGAAGGACGCAACCATGAAGGTGCTGTACAAGGAGGGTGACCGGTCCAACTGTAACAACTACAGGGGGATTTCGCTACTATCTCACGTAGGCAAGGTCCCCATCAAGATCATCACCAACCGTCTAAGCGCCTTCTGCGAAGCCAACAACATCCTCCCGGAGGAACAGTGCGGATTTCGACCCGGGCGATCCACCGTCGACATGCTGTTCGTCGTGCGCCGCCTCCAGGAGCTGGGGCGGAGAAAGAAAATACCGCTCTACATGTGCTTCGTCGACTTGAACAAGGCGTATGATTCGGTGGACCGAGAGATGCTATGGAAGGTGCTGGCCAGGGCCGGGATTCCCGCGAAGCTGATCGAAGTCATCCGCCAATTCCACGATGGAATGCGGGCCCGGGTGCGCATGGACGACGGAGAAGTATCGGACTGGTTCTTCGTGACACAGGGCGTGCGACAAGGATGTGTGCTATCCCCACTGCTGTTCAACATCTTCTTCGCCGAGGTCCTCGAGGTCGTTGTCATCCGATTCAGCGAGGATGATGTTGTTCTGCAGAACCTGGTGTGCTTGGAGGAGGGGAAGACAGAAGCGGGGGGAGGGGAGGAGACACCTCTTGACCGAGTACGGAGCGCAGTATGGGGGATGCTGTATGCCAATGATGCCGGCGTCGTATCGAGGTCTGCAGAAGGACTGGCGAGAATGATGACCATCATCGTTGAGGTGTTCGGGGAGTTCGGGCTAACGGTGTCGGAGAAGAAGACGGAGACGCTCCTGATGCGCGCGAAGGACAAGCCGACTACAACATCACAGCCCCCCCCGCCTCCACCACTGACCATCGAAGCCGCGGGACAGAAATACGCCCAGACGACCGAGTTCCGGTACCTCGGTGGCCTCGTCAACGAACACGGTGACCTCACCCGGGAGATCAACTACAGGAGCAGAGGAGCGTGGGCGTGCCTCAGGCGATATGGCCTGGAGCTCTTCGACAGACCGCAAGCGCCATTCCGACTCAAGATCCGCCTGCTCCAGGCGGAGGCGATGGAGGCACTGCTGTACGGCTGCATGACATGGTCACCACTCAGCGGCCACTATCAGACGCTTCGGTCGATACACCAACCGACTGCTCCTTCGAGCTATCGGGTACAAGCGCAAGAAAGACGCATACCGGCAGCTTTCTTACGCCCAGACGCTGAAGAGGGTCGAATGTCAGAGAGTTGAAGCCACGATCCGACAACGACACCTACTGTTCGCGGGAGCATTGGCAA